AAAATGTATATAAAGTGATACTTTGTATATATCATTAAGGTTTGCGACATAAGATAGTATTATGTATTATCAAAGACAAAGAGGTCATCAAACATTGTCTTAATTATAAGTTATCCATTCTGCTAAGAACTAAAATAAAAATAAAATCTGAATATAATATTCTATTGTCGATATGTCTACAATCGATAAATATATTAAAGCTTAAAGTCTATTCAAATAAATTTGTATAGACACATGCTATACACATATATGAAAAGTCAACTAATGCGTGTAGAATCTTACATTTTTATAGGATCGATTTTTTATTTCAAGAATCGATTCACTGCATTAATTGAAGCTGTAAGATCGACCTAAAAAAATCGAGAATCGAATATAAAAGAATCGATTCTTTAAGATCGCCCACCCCTAATTCCTAGGCATCGGCTGATATGAGTGTGTCCGATTGAAAATGTGCACATCTGGGACGCTTCCGAAATCACGCAGCGAAAGAAATTATTAGTGACATAACTAGAAGTAATGAAGACCTATTCATCTCAAAATATTTCAAAAACTACACTGAATGCAACTTTACGACTGTAAATATAACCTTAATATTTAGCAAAATAAAGAGATACGAATTTAGGAATAGATATTCCTATTCGTGCAAAGACGATAAATATATCAACGGCAATAAGAAAGACAATTACTAATAATTATAAGTTGCAACAATTTATTAATTTATTAATTTGGAATATATAAACTTTCATTTAAAAAATTTCTCTATTTCAGTGTATGTATTTATTCAGTGTATGTATTATTTCAAACAAATAGGAGCATAAAAGCTAAGCCAGCTTTGAGAGTTAAGTCCGCTTGAAGACGTCCAAAGTGATGAGCTGCAATTCATCGAAGAGTATGAGTCATTAAATGAATCTGCATTTAATGAAGTTAGAGTCTACATATCAAATTTTGCAGGAAAAAACATCTTTAATCATAGAAACTACAAATCACAATTCAAAGTAATGAAGTTGATAAAGAGAATATAAATGGTGGAAATGGTAACTATACGTTTTAAATGTGATATTAGATAAGTTTTCTGAAAATGTTATAGTTGACTAAATGACGTTTATTTATGGGA